ATAATATTATAATATTATTATTTAAAAATATGTATTCACCGCGACACAGAAATTACCATGTTTCGCAACTAAAAAATAAACTTAAAATTAAACTTAAAATTAAAGTTTTTGTTCCATTCTCAAGCTATATATATATATATATATATATATATATATATATATATATATATATATATATTGATGCATGTTTTATTAAATAATATAGACAAGTTTTGACAATTTAATTTAAGTAAGTTCCTTTCATATTGTCTGATAAGCTTGATAACATTATCATTGAAGGACGAAAAGAAATCACCATATTGATACATGTTTAAATCCAATCTAAGCTTTCGGCTTACATAAACCATTATCAAATATGACAATTACATTTCAACATATCAAACAATACCCGGGCGAAACAATAATGATAGTCTGTTTTTGTTGCATGAAAAATTTCAAAGCAACGACAAACGAGACGCGGATGCGAAAATTGCGTCGCAGCTAGTGACGTCACACATGACTACGTGGGAGTGAAACGAGAAGTATTAAGTATGGGAAGTCATGGTATAAACCCCTGGTTTCTGTTATCAATTATATATATATATATATATATATATATATATATATATATATATATATATATATAGAACTGTGCATTGAGTACATTTTTAATAATATAACTGTTTCCTGGACAAGATCAACCTTCTATGTAAGAACAGATTTATTGTTTAATATATAAGTATTTTCACATAAGAATTCATTGTCTTGAAGAATAACCCTCAACAGAAAGCACCGGATGGCCGTTTCGTCCTTTTCACGTCTCATCAACAAAGCGCATCCACTACCGAGAAACGAAGACGGACCGTTATGATACAACGCAAGCATCATACCACAGGAGTTCGGTGCCGAAGAGGGAACTAACTCGACTCAATATAGCGCAGTTCTAGCTTCTAATGTTCTGGATGGAGCGGCTTTGTTCAAGAAGAAGTTTCTCTTGGGGTCGGTTGCGGTGAGTTATGTATGCTTGGATTAGTATCACCTCTAGAATTAGGATTATCACTTATAAACCTATGTTTGGATCCAGCTTCTAATGCTCTGGAGAAAGCGGTTTGGTGAAAGAAAACGTTTCTATTGGGGTCGCTTCCACTGAGGAATGTAGGCTTGGGTGAGTATCACCACCGGAATTAGGAGTTGCTGCGCTATATTGAATTTAGTTTGTTTTCCTCTTCGTCGTCAAGGCTCGCAGGGGTGATGCTTGAGTTGTATCATAATAGCCCGGGTTCGATTCTCGGTAGCGGATGCGCACTGCTGATACGTCCCCAAAAGGACGAAACGGCCGTCTAGTGTCTTCTGCATTCTGTTGAGGATTCTTGTTCTAGACTCTGTGAATTATTATGGGAAATCATTCTAATCTCCAAAAATTTCTATCACATATATATATATATATATATATAATTATTTATTTAAAAATATGATTCCAAAACGCTACATAAGAAGTCTCATGTTTCAAAACAAGAGCCGAAAACTTCAATATAATTATTTAAATTAAATTGAGTTAAAATAAGCTCTGTTCCATCTTCAAGCGAATTTTTTTTTTAATTTAAATAATTATATTGAAGTTTTCGGCTCTTGTTTTGCAACATGAGACTTCTTATGTAGCGTGTTGGAATCATATTTTTAAATAAATAATTATATTTATGCTCTACTTTTGTATCGAGCACTATTTTTTAAAAATAATAACTAAAATACTAAGGGACTTTGGATTATTTACCTAACCAGTTCCTTCCTATTTTCTATAAATGTTCACATATTTATATATATATATATATATATATATATATATATATATATATATATATATATATATACATACATATATATGTATATATATATGTATATATACATTTTATATATATATATATATATATATATATATATATGTGTGTGTGTGTGTGTGTGTGTGTATAAAAAAAAAGAAAGAACAGTAAGATATATAATCCGGTGTTCTTATAGAAATTTTATTTTACAAAATAGTGCTCGATATAAATTTACAGATTAATATAATATATATATATATATATATATATATATATATATATATATATATATATATATATATATATATATATAAATGACCCGTTTAATCAGATATTACTTGTTATTGTTAGAAACTGGCCTAGATCGATAAGACCTACTAAAGAAAAATTGTGCCGTGCGACAAGAATCGAAGTTGTATTCCTTTATACTATATAGCACGTTTCGGCTATGGGAGAATTTTACTGATGGAAAATGAGATACATTGGCGTGTCAGTTTCCGTACATTTTCGAAGGTGTCAAGTAAGTGACTATAGTTCTTCTTTGCCCTTGTTAGTATTCTCAGCATTTGATTAGCTTCGGCCATTATCAAGAAAAAAGATGAAACTCCATCTTTGCAACTTTGGAGTTATTTTGAGTTTTAAATGTTTTTTTTTTGTTGCCATTGAGCGTGATGTTATTTATGGAGTTTTGGCACTCTGTCGCATGAACCTATTTAAAAAAAACTTGTATGATATTCTTACTTCATGAGAATATAAAGGGTGCTCTACAAAAAATAAGAAAATTTTAGATTTACTAAAAATCTTCTCCCCCCCAGCTATGGGTAAATAGCAGAACAGACCAGGCTCTATAGCCTTGAATGGCAACTGGTCTACCGCAGAAAGAAATTGCAACCTACTGCGAGAAAAAAAAAATCTGCCTCGTAAGTCATGTATCAAAGGATACATGATCGCCTAAGCGTGTATCATGCATGGCACATAACTGTCTGATATTCCCTTACTTTGGAAAGGTATGAGTTCTCTTCTCCCCCACCCAGCTGTAGGTAAATAGGAGGACAGACCGGGTTCTATAGCCTTGGATGGCAACTGGTCTACCGCAGAAAGAAATGGCAAGCTAATGCAGGAAAAAATCTGCCTCGTCAGTCATGTATCGAAAGATACATGATCTCCTGAGAGTGTATCACGCATGGCACATAACTTACTGATATTCATGTACGTGCTAATATCCTTGGGAAAGGTATGAATTCTCTTCTTCACCCCCACCTCCAGCAGGACAGATCGGGTTCTCTAACCTTGAATGGCAACTGGTCTACCGAAGAAAGAAATGGCAACATACTGCGGGAAAAATCTGCCTCGTCAGTCATGTATCACGTATGTCACATAACTGACTGACTGATATGAATGAACTAAAAAAAATTAACTAACATATAACATTTTTAACCATTTGTTGTTCCAGGATGCAGCAGTTACCAAATTTTCAACTCGATGTGATGGTTATCCTTAAACCTTTTAAGTCCTGCGTTCCTGAACAATTTTAACATTCCTGCCTCAGCTCCTGAGTCAAAATCCCTTAATAATTGCTATGTAACGTTTCCCGGTAGATATAAAAATAGTTATAAGAGTTTACCGACCGTTCAAACTAGCTGGGCATTAAGTCATTTTTCTCTACCACTGTTCAACCGGTGGCTGGGCATGACATCATGTTTCTCTACCACCAGTAAAGCGGTAGTCAGGGATCAAAGGGTTAAGAAAGAACATCCAGCTTGAGGACTAAAAAATGCCAAGAAATATTGCCAGAGTTCGTTAGTCTGAACACCACATTTGTGTTTTGTTCTGTTTTAAGCTACTAAATTTCTATCCATTGATTTTGTAACAAAAATTCCAACAATCTATACAAATTTTCCTATTTTTTTTTCTGGGGCACCCTGTAGATTAAGTATTATCCAAAAAAGAAACAGAATATTCTGTTTTTAATACCTGAATCAAGTATTGAATTAAAATACCCGAAACATTTGTCTGCAAGGATTAACAAATTAACAACTGATACACTGACTTTTGGGTTATTGTGCTAAGTATATCAGCCATTTTGATTAAGCCTTCTACATGATGAAGCGTACATAGAAGTAAAATTTGTTATAGAAAAATATGAAAAATCAAAATTAATTACATCTTAGTCACTTACTTGATAATATTAATGATTTTTTTGTTGTCTGTTTTGATTCTGGTGAAAGGATTTATGTTCAAATTAAAAGAATACACTCTGGGATAAATTAGTAGATAGAAATATTCTTTGTCGAGTTTTTCAAATATGCCTGAAGACATCTTTGTGTTAAAACAAGCCAAGAATTATAAATCGATCTTTTCAGTTACTTCTCATTTCTTACTCACCAGGAAGACAGATTTTCATACAGATCCTGATAAAAAGAAATAATCACGGGAAAGCGTGGTTCATTTTTATGCTTTAGACAGCAACTTGTTACTTCATTTGCACTCTTTTAGTTCATATTCTGTCCTAATTTCTGGGGGCTTACAGCCATGTCACGTTGAAACACCGGTTTCTGTTCAGAAGTTAAGCAACGTTGAGCTTGGTCAGTACCTAAATGGGTGACCGCTTGGGAATACCAGGAACTATACATTTCGGTGTGCGGTTGATGCAATGGATAATCGCTCGGAATTGTTAATCGGAGAGACAAGTTCCAATCCCAGGTGGGTTTTTATGTTCACTTACATATTCTGTCTGAATTTCTGGGGCTTACAGCCATGTCACGTTGAAACACCGGTTTCCGTTCAGAAGTTAAGCAACGTAGAGCTTGGTCAGTACCTAAATGGGTGACCGCTTGGGAATACCAGGAACTATACATTTCGGTGTGCGGTTGATGCAATGGATAATCGCTCGGAATTGTTAATCGGAGAGACAAGTTCCAATCCCAGGTGGGTTTTTTATGTTCACTTACATATTCTGTCTGAATTTCTGGGGGCTTACAGCCATGTCACGTTGAAACACCGGTTTCCGTTCAGAAGTTAAGCAACGTAGAGCTTGGTCAGTACCTAAATGGGTGACCGCTTGGGAATACCAGGAACTATACATTTCGGTGTGCGGTTGATGCAATGGATAATCGCTCGGAATTGTTAATCGGAGAGACAAGTTCCAATCCCAGGTGGGTTTTTTATGTTCACTTACATATTCTGTCTGAATTTCTGGGGGCTTACAGCCATGTCACGTTGAAACACCGGTTTCCGTTCAGAAGTTAAGCCACGTTGAGCTTGGTCAGTACCTAAATGGGTGACCGCTTGGGAATACCAGGAACTATAAATTTCGGTGTGCGGTTGATGCAATGGATAATCGCTCGGAATTGTTAATCGGAGAGACAAGTTCCAATCCCAGGTGGGTTTGTTATGTTCACTTACATGCTAATACTCTTCGAAAATCTATAACTCCTCCTCTTCTACTCCTAATATAGGTTAATTAGTAAGACTTGTATCACTAAATCGGTATTATCTCATAAAAATATCTTACAATCTAAAAAATATTCCCTGGCTTTAAATAACTTGCAATGGATTGATAAGCTGTAAAAAAAAAATGAATGAATCAATTAATTTCTGGGTGCCGTCATTATTTAAATTATTTACACGTGTGCTATTGTCTTCATCTTTGTTGTTGTTATCTCAACGTTTCGGCCGTTGTGCTCTTTGGTCATCATCAGATAACAATCGGGTCAAAAGCCTAGTAGATAAAGGGTTGCTTGGTTAATTTGGTGACTTAGTAATTGTGAGTTCAATCTCTAGGTTGGGCGGTCATTGCGTACTTGGACTCGGGGGAAAACGGGGCGAGTCATAACTGAATAGTATTAAATCAGAATTAGATGAGGTCTCCCTAGACGTGGGCAGTGGAACAAGAATATTCTCCCTCTACAGATTGACTAAAGAATTCAGTTCAAAATTTTAGAAGATTATCCGGATTGACAAACACCTGATGAAGGCCGGAGGTCACAAAAATCGAAACGTTGTGATGACAACAACAAAGTTGAAAACAGTAGTCAGCGGGTAAATAATGCAATTAATCATTCAAAGAAGTTCTGTTAAAGTCTATTATAGTTTCTTTAATAAGTTAACTCAGCGTTACTTTGGTTAGTTATGTACAAGGAAAAAATATCTACACAGTACAAATTTTATTTTCGAATGATATCTACATAGTAAAACATATAACATATATATATATATATATAACATAAAGAAAATTGAATGAAAATATTAAAATTTTTCTTTTCTTTACATCAGTCATGGGCAAAGTGAGGCCAGCGGGCCAAATGTGGCCCGTTTCGCTTTCTGAATGGCCCGCCGAATTCCATGAGAAAAATAACGTTTATTAAAATTTTGTTATACTTCGTTTCGTCCTCACTTGTTCACTCACATGTTCTCGGGCATAACCACATTTATAAACAATGATTAAGCGCAACGTTTCTTGAATTTTGCAACTTTTCGTTGAAGGTAACGTTTTCAACATTTTAAACGATTGTTGATTTTCACTAACGAAGATCATGAGTGTAAATATCATCTCACAGACGCGCCGTCGCCTCTCTCCGTCTTTTTTTACAAATACTTTCATGGCAATTCCTCCGAGGAGCTGTATTCGCTGGTTCCCAGACTTCATGAGTTCAAGCGCCCTACGAGGATGGCATCCCGCTCTCACCCTTTCACTGTCGAAACTCCTAAATGTAGCCGTCTCTTCTACTCCAATAGCTTCATGTCTCGCACCTCTCGCCTGTGGAACTCCCTTCCCTATTCCAGTTTCCCCGAGAGCTATAATCTCTAACTATTCAAATGTAATGTCAATCGACATCCCCAGTTGCCTTGATCTATCCACCCTCCTTCTCCTCATCCTTTCCTCTATCACTCCTATCTGATCTTGCTCCAAATCTTCTGTAACCTCTTGCGTCCTAGTGGCTTCCCGCCTTGCTTGGGGTGAAACGCTTAAAAAAAAGAAAAAAAAGAAAAATCATTTGTGAAGAAAATATATTTATTAATTTGAAAATTATTTTTTGTATTTTCAAATGAATAAATAAGAAACACATCACATGAAATTGTGTGTGTTAATCGCTGTCATCTTACTTATTATAAAACCCAGGTTGTGTGTGTGTGTGTGTTCATTTATATATTGGATCGGATTTCCTACATTTTTCAACCGATTTCAACAAAACTTCACAGGACTACGTAAAATTACCTTGCGGTGGTTCTGACAGCGTCAAAAATTGGAAAAACACAATTGTTTTTGCACGAAATCAATTTGAAAACACGATTAAGAGGCATCGCTGTTGCGAGAATGAAAGGGGGACAACTCATATCGAGTTAAACTTATTATAAAACCCAGGTTGTTTGTGTGTGTGTGTTCGTTTATATATGGGATCGGATTTCCTACATTTTTCAACCGATTTCAACAAAACTTCACTTTTTTTTGGCAGGTAGTGTTTCTTATTGTCTTGCACACTTTTTTCTTTATTTTTATATTCAGAATGCTTTAAAATTTCCATTTACAAGACAATTGTTTATAATAAAATTCTATTCAATCGTTAGACTCATAACAATTGAAAACAATGTTTTTGGTTGATTTTGGGTTTGACCAATTCGTAAAAAAAAAAAAAACTAATTAAGACATGCGTGTCCGTCAACCTTAAACAACAATCTTTGTCAATTTTATTTTTCAGTCTTTATGATGGTCGATACTTGATCTATCTCTTACTGTTACATCTCCGGGCAACGCCGGGATCTACTGCTAGTCTGTTATAAAATTATACCGAGACTTCATTTTTTTTAATTATTAAGAACTCTTTTCTCCAGAAACAATCAACCTTTCACCATTTCTATGGCAGAGGCTTGCGCGTATGATCTTCTGTGATGGAAATGGCTGAGATAACTTCAACGCAAAATTACCTTGAATCTATTTAGTAGCGCAGATCGCTTTATGATGAGCCACATCTAATATGGCCACATCTGATGCGGTCGGAAAAGGTTGCCTGATTTATATTTTAGTGATACAAAACATACATCGGCTAAAATATCTACACTGTACAAATTTTATTTTGTAATATCTGCATAGTAAAACGTAGGGTCTACTTTGGCTCGTTATCTACAATGAAAAGATAAGCCAAAGTAGCAACGGTTTTACTATGTTGATATCATTCCAACATAACATTTTTACGGTAAGGATATTTTTTCTTGTAGATAATAAGCTAAAGTAGATATTTCTTCCTTGTAGATAGCAAACCGAAGTAGGACCGTTCATTCGAAGATAGAATGATAACATAAAGAATATGCTGGCATTCCATTTTAACCCAAAACAAAAGGTCAAGAAGGAACCCCCCCACACCATCAATAGTTGAAAGAGGGTTAACAGAGGCAGGACGTGACAAACCTATTTTTATGAAAAAGTTTTAAGAGAAAGATTTTAGAAATTTCAACCGAACGTAGTGCTGGCTGCTCGGCAATGAATGACGAATATTTACTTATAAGGAAACAGTTACTAACACCATTACCATCACCGTTTTTCCGGATTATTTTCCATATCTCGGTGTTGTGATGTAAAGGAACTGTTCAGTGCTTGTTCTTAATTTTCCGAGCATTTGACCGGATTTAGTCATTATCAAAAAGATTGAATTTAAAGCGCGTATGGTCATGGACATGTTGGGTAGGAATTTGAATGTCTAATTTTTCAGTCTTTATGTTGTCACATGAGCGTGTTGTTCGTTTTTTAAATTTTGAATATCTGTGTTGTCGAGTGGTCGTAAGGTTGTGTGGATTCTGTAAATTTAAATATGTTATAAATGCCTATTCCACAACCATCAGTAGTTTTGTCGAAAACTCCGACCTTATAAAGACCCAATAAAAACTGTAGAATTTTTTTTAATACAAAATAATTAGCTAATAATAAAATTCCAGTTGATATGGAACAATTGAAATTATCATCATCATTCGACCGAGTCGGAATCATCGAACGAACGATCCTTTCTTTCAATGCATATTATGTGCTATGCCAAGGCTACATACAGTTTTGATTTCAGAGCTTTCTTTCTCCTAGACAGGTTGCCACCCAAGGCAATAGAACCCAGTCTGTTCTACTATTTACTCATGGTGGTGGGGGAGAAGAGTATTCATACCTTTCTCAAGGGTATTAGAACGTAAATGAAACGTAATTGGAATTCGAACTCGGCTCTCTGATTCCTGAAACCGGACAACTGTCAATTATTCTACTGCACCTCATTCTATTGAAATTAAGATGATAGTAATCTTAGTCGAAATTTAATAATGACTCACTAATTCATCTATTGGCTTACGGTCAAATCACGCTGAAAACACCGGTTCTCGTTCGATCACCGAAGTTAAGCATCGTAGAGCCAGGTCAGTACTTAGATGGGGGACCGCTTGGGAACACCTGGTACTGTAAGCCCCCAAAGTCCAACCCTTACCTCACAGTCGGTGGGGGGGTGTAAACGGTAGTGTCAGAGCTATGCCGTCCGGAACTTCGTGCCTGGTAGGGCGACCCAAGGCGGACAGGTCTGACACACACGCCGGCTAACAAGATCTCTGGTGAAAATCCAAGGAGCGTCTGCATCGGCAACCGGCGGCTTCTGGTCGTTCCTGTCTCTGCGTCTGTGGGAACCCAGCGGCAAGCAAGAACGTTATCCGAGTAGGCCTGGGTACCCTACTTCTGTAATTTATCCCAAGAATCTTCTTCTCATAACAGGAAGAAGCCGGCTCAATCCGCCCAGGGTGAATGCCGCATCACACACACACACAATTCATCTATTAAAAATCCCAGTTAATATTACTACTACTGTTACTACTAATGGAAATAAAGCAGTTAAAATGAAGAAGAAAGAGAATCTAGTTAAAATGAAGAATGCTTGGCAATGCTCCATCTAATAAAATTTTTAGATATTACTACTACTGTTATCAATAGTAGTATTATTATCTAGAATTTTTACAAGCAATAAGAAGCAATAAGAGATCTAAGAAATACGAGAGAAAAATTATTAATTGTTGACGGTATTTTATCTAGTAAAAATTTAACATAAAATTACTAATAGTACTACTAGTAGTGTAAATTTAGTTCAAGTAAATTTAAAATAAAGGAAATACTAATCTAAATTTAATAATAGTCGGTGTGGTAATAAAATAAGCACATCCCATCTTTCGCTTGTAACCATCCATCACAAAAAAATAAACGTTTTTAAGCACTATAGCAGAATGAGTAAAAAAAAAGAAGCTTTATAAGCTTCTACTCAGAGTTGTTACTATATTACAGTTGAAATTA